CCCACCCCAAGAACCAGCTCTGGCAGCTTCACCACTAAGTCAGCTGAACACAATTCCTCTGTGCTTATGGAAGTCTTGAAAGAAATTGGATGTTCCCTTACCTGCAGTGCTAATCTATGAAATCCAGAAAATGCTTAAGCTGTAACATTTTGGATTATTAAAAGACAAATCCTCTATCTCATCTAAACCCAACGCATTCTTAAAAAGAAAACAAAAACAACAAAACACACACAAATCAAATCCCCCCCAAAACCAAACACCACGTTATCTGTACAAAACCTATTTTTAGTAGGACTGAACATTCATAATCCCTACCCTCACTCAACAGATACCATTCCTAAAGTTTATGACTTTTTTTCTAAATATTCTGTTGAAATACTCAAAGGTTTTGCAGCATTACACTACAAAGGGTTCACCATTGTACAGCTCAGAGTTTCACACTGTTTGGTTTTGATTTCCTGCTTTCTGCTGTAGTTTTACACAGAACATGACAATTTCCATGGCTGGTCAAAACAACAACGTGAGTGAGGCTTTAAGAACAAAGACAAGTAGGATCCCCTGTCACCACAGTAATGAAGATGCCTGTCACGCATCAGAAAACTGCACAACAGAAAATCCCACAGAAATGGATAACTTCATGGAAAATACTAAAACTCTGAACCTTTGAGGCTAGACACATCTGCTAACTCTGTCTATCCAGAATGCATAAGGTTGCTGAAGTCTATTCATAAAAAGACAAAGATAATAAATGCGAAGAAAGTAATTTGTAATTTGCTATTTCCACGTTAGATCTCAACCCTGTGGAGATTCACAGCATGCCTAACTTTAATTACCGAGACAGTGGCATAGAGAGGAAAGGGAAGAAAGGGCTGGAAGCGTTTAACTAGTAGCAATTCAAGGCCCTGAGTTGGCTAATATTTAAAAATTTCACTAAAACTGACGTTACAATCAAAGGCATGTGTTAGTGATTGTGGGCTTATGGTCACAGCTCAAAATGAAAACAGATCCTAAAGAGCTAATGTTAATAACATTTCCATTTGTGATTCATTTTTTACCCCCCCAGTGTCCCTGACACGCAATTGGAAACAAAAAAATGAAAAAAAAAAGTCCCTCCCCACAAAACAGATGTGATGGTTGCTTCTTCCCACATCATCATGGTCTTTCCAAGAAGGCTGTGACTAACTTCACCAGGGAACAAGCAATTATGCAGGATCTCTGAGTATCAAGAGCTATAAAAGACACCTTAACATTCCATTTCAGTGACTGAAGAGCTCTGTTTTATAAATAGTTATGCAAATGTTTTCTACACACACCCCAAACGGTCTCACTGACTTAGATAAAACTTCCTACAACTTTAAACCGAAGTTCCTCCATGGGCACCGCAGGGAGAAACTCAGAAGTTGTTCAGGACTGAAGTTCCCAGCAAAATGTAAAATCTTGGGATCCAGACTGGAAAACTGAAATTCCTAGGTATCAGAGTTAAATCAAGATCTGTACAAAACCGAGAAATTTAGCATGTTGGATGAATAAATCGATAGATAAATCAGAATCCAACTCTGGAGTTAAGATAAAATGGCATCAGATAAATCCCTCTCCAATTCTAGTTTCTGGTATTCTAGGAATTCTAGTTTCTGGTAACGCAAAGGATTTAATACTGAAAAAACTACAGAATTAGTACTGAGAACAAGCTATGAGTCTCATATATTGAATTTTCACCTTGAAAAATATACCAACTTCACTGTTAATTTTATGGGTTCTGTGTAAGTATGGCCCTACCATGAGGAAAAAGGGTATTTCAGGCATCACAAAAATCAGTGAAAAGCCTTCTAACCATGAGCTGTTGATTAGCCTCCTTGGGAATCCAGCTCAGGACTAGAATGATGAAAACTGAATCCCCATGGACAGAGGGGATACAGAACCAGATGCTGTTAAGTGAGAAAGCAGGAAGAAACCCTGGTTTCAAACGAAATGTGGAAGCAGACCCATCCACGTGCAGAAAACACACAAGCAAAGAAACTTTCCGATTCCTTTTGGATGGAGATACAAATTGGGGCCACTCACACTGCACCATAAGCACCACAGCTAAGAGGAGTTAAGTCTTTTCTTTCTGGTCACCAGCCCCACTTCAGAGAGAGAAGACTCAGGATGGGTCACACACCAAAGGGCTTCCTTTTTCTGTCTGGCATAGCTAAAAGCTGTGTCCTCTAGAAAACCTCGCACCACTGACCAGTCATTCACCATATGAGAAGACATGCAGGAACTGTAACTAGGAGCATAAGGGCAACAAGTGGTAGACACTGAAATCGAAGTTAGCAAACACTTTATCAGTGCAGCCTTCATCGTGTGGACTTCAAGTCTTCTCTCACCACAGTAATTTAGAAGTTCTTATATATTTAAACTATTTTGATCCTCATCGATCCTCCAATTATTTAACTTCAGATGTTAGATTTGATGTTAGTTTTTACCCACAGGACAAAAAAAATGCCACAGTTAATGTGATTGATTTACCATTTACAGCTGGACTATGGATAGAAAGAAAATAAACCGTATTTTCAGAATTTAGTTGTCAACAAGTGCAAAAATTCTGTATTTTTTTTTCCATCCGCACATTTCTCAGCAGAAGTAACTTTAGCCTAATCTTGCCCTCTCTATTACTGCTATAAATAACACAGCACCTAATCACTACTGGGTGTCGTTGCCTGTGGGGTGTTACCTCCCTCCAAATAAATCTAATGGGATGCTTTGACTGCTTCCAAAATTACAGGCAGTCAGAAACATACATTCTGAGCTATGAGAAGGCACAACTCAATACTGCAGCCATTATGAGTTGTTTGACAATACAAGCCAGCTGGACAATTACAGTCCGAAGCCACTTGTATTTCCACAGTCTCTCCCAGTAAAAGCAACCAGCAGCTGCAAACCTGCTTGTGTGGAGCCTTGAGCACAGTATCTCATTACCTGATGATACCTGCATGTTAATGAGGCTACACTCACTGTGAACTGTGAATCAAGAGGAGATGGGCTGCGTCTCCCTTACACCTTGGAAACCCTGTAAGCTCTCTGCAATCCCCACTGCTCGCTGAGAGGGTACACACTCACTTCCAGCCTGGCCTAGGAGAGGCTTCTTCTCGAAGGGCAAGGGTAGCAGCATTTCCATGGAAAGGAGGCGGGACACACAATGCTGATTCAGTATTTCCAGTTGCTAACAACAAAAATGGTCGTTTTTATGTTCTCCCATGTAAGCAACTTTTGTAGCTGACATATAGTCATTGCACAATCACAAACAAGAAGGAATATGGTCAATAGGAAGGGAGGAGGACCTTATTTTTGATGATGGAGAGGCATAATTAATATTATTATTAATTATTAATATAATCTACGCTGCAAAGGCACGTGAGATCCATCATTTGGTTAATATTTCAGCAGACACAACGCAGAGCAGCAGGACTTTTATCTTCAGTACTTCACCTCAAGTAAACAAAGCAGACTCCACAAAAGGTCAAACCACTACTGCACGTCTGTAGCTCTGGAGGGTACGAGACCCATTAGCCAAGGCAAAGCGCAATTTCTGAGTGGGAGGATCGGTTCCCAACCAACATCCTTAAGAAAAACTTGTTCCAACCTTTCTTCTATTGCCTGCTACTCACTGGCTTGAAACTACGGTTTAGTGGAAGCTGCGATGCCTAGCTTTTCATGGATACAGTGCAACCCTACTGAGGTTACAAGGGGACAGGAACACCTTAGATCATGCCGCAAAATGCCACGAACCTGTTTTCCATCGTGTGTCCAGGTCACCTGCGCGCTGGCAGGGAGCGCGGGTCATGGCGATGAGAGGGGCAGGAGGAGGAAAAACGCCAGGGAAAGTTATCAGATAGAGGGAAAGGGCTAAACGGCGGGGGAGACGAAAGAGAGCGGGGGAGAGCACCGAAGAAACGCAAGCATGCAACAGGAATATCTCACCCGAAAGCTGCCCCTTCGCGCGATACCAGCAACACAGGTGGAAAAGCCAGCTCAAACACCGGGGAAGAAATACCACAATAAGGACTGAAAGGCAAGTCACCTGGTCGAAGGTGAGGCAGGAGGAGGAGGGCACCGGCGGATCCTCAGCCCCGTGGGAGCCCCGCGGGCAAGGTGCGGCGGCGTTACCGCAGCGGGAGGGGGAAAATACACGCACACCTACACACACACACACCCACACCTACACACACGGCGAGGGACGCGGGTATAAAGCCACGGCGGGGAACGGCGGCAGCAGCGAGGCGCTCGTGCCCAAAAGCCCGGGAGGAGTTCTCGGCCCCCCCCTGCCCGAAGCGGCGGCCCCGCGGACCGGCGAGGGTCACGGCCCCGCAACTCGCCCCGTTCCCACCCCGTGCGCTGCCCCGCCGGCTCTTGGGGGCGGAACAAAAGGGGGGGCTCGGCGCCGGGGGAAAATCCCTCTCCCGCCCCGCCAGCCCCTACCTGTGCCCCCGAGGCCTCCTGCCGCCCCGCGGGGCTCCGGGCCGCGACGGCCCGGGGCTCCCCCGCATCGCCCGCCGGCGAGCATGCGGGCAGGGGCCGGGGGCGCGGAGGGCCTCCGCTCCAACAAAGTGCCGAAAGCGGCCGGGCAGGCGCCGGGCACCGGGAGCAGCGGCCGGAGAGCGGTAGCCGGAGCTTGCCCTCTGCCGGCCCGCCGCCCGCCCCGGACCCGAGTTCCAGCACCCGGCTCCAGCCTTCAGCCCCGTTCCAGCCCGGTTCCAGCCTCGCCCCGTTCCAGCCCCGGTTCCAGCCTCAAGCCCCGTTCCAGCCCCGGCCCGCGGGAAATTGTGCGATGTGCGGGGCCGCCTCGCCCCTCTGCCGCTTCCCGCCGCGCCTCACCGGGAGCTCACGCAAACGCAAAGGTGCTGAGCAGCAGCTCCCCCCGGAGCGGCGCTGAAATACGGGAGTTGTTTAAAGTCATCGCAAGCCTTCGCCAAAATATATATATATATATATTAAATAAAAAGCCACGCGATAAAGCCTACCGACGCTCCAAAGCAAAATCCTTCCCCGGAGAAGTAGGTGTATCTAAACCACCTTTGGAACTAGTGGACGGCGAGAATGTAAGTCTCCCATCCTCGCTTGAAATCCCGGATGAAGTCTCCCAGCTGTTTATGTTGTTTCCATCTGGCACCACATTCCTTCCGACTCTGACCATTTACACGTGTCTTTCACTCAGCACAGGGGAATAGTCCCGTGTCCAGATACTATTGGCACGTTTACAGGTAGCCAAAGTCCTCACGCTACAGCCGTGATTTCCATAACGAGCCACTCCCCTCCTAAAATCGAGTTGCTCCACGAGAACCTCGGTTTTCAATGATTTCACTTTCAAATAAGCTTTTGCCTTTTGTGACTCCAGAGAAAAGCTGGAAAACATAAATCTTTTGACAGCATCAGAAATAGGAAAATAGCCTCCATTCAGGTAGTGCATAGGAGAGCTAATCTGATTTTCAAGGTTCTGTTCCTGATTTTTGATAGGATTCAATTGTCAATCCTGAAAGACTTACACACCTGTTTAATTGTGTTCCCGAGGCTCCTTCCAGGCTTCACCAAGATTCCTCACGAAGATCAGAATCTTGTCTAGACCAAACAGCCATTTCCATTGAGCCACTGCTATCCAAGTATGGACAGCTTTGCAAAGTTTCTGTGATTCCAGGCCCTCTTCAAGGAACCTGCAGAGGAAAAGTATAAACTAATGAAAGAGCAGCTGCTTGCTGAAATTTCCACTCAGTTCCAAGAAGTGAGGCTTGGCAGGTCCTCGCTTTTTATAACACTCTGTGACTCATTTGCAGAGGCAGGTGAAGTCAGAGCCATCACTGCCAGAGTCGTGCCACCGACAGCTTCTTCAGGAAGGACGTGGATTTTACCACTTTTTTAAAAAGAGGAAAGGACCATGTTGCTCAGCTTCTGTTTGCAGTGGTTTGGCTGTTGAATCTCTTCTCAAGTGGTCTAGTCCATCCTTAACCTGGTGTTTGCCAGCAAATCTTCTTGAAATAAGGTTTGAACTCTACAAACTGTTATTGTGCCAGGCTCCTTGGCAGGGTCAGGGCTGAAGGCAGTGGGCAGCAGGCAAGCATGAGGCTCACTGAGGGATCCTGTGAACCAGACAGGAGAGAGTAACCCGAGCTTCAGGTCAGGCTGGAAGAGGTGGGGCCTCACTCCACAATTGCTTAGGAGTTCACCTTAACCCTGCTTCAAAAAAAAAAACAAAAACAAAAAGAAAAACAGTTCAGGCAACTTCCCCCTCCTGGCTCAGAGCTGATAGAGTCCCTCATCATGCTCCATCTTCTTCTAATGGTTCTGTCTCTGCTATTTTTTCTGGTCCAGAAAGCCCTCCACAAAACAGGAAGGCACAAAAAACCTTGTGAAATAAGTCCACTTCTCTGTACCTAAACAGGCACTGAAAGGTGCAGATACCATACACTTACCTAGTTCATTTCCAACAAACCTTCAAGTCTTAAAGAATCGGATTATGGAGAGGCCACCAAGGTACTTTGTGTGAATGAAGCTTAGAGGAACACTGATATCTAAACTGACATTTCCAAACTATCCATGCCAGACTCCATACACACTCTCCCTAGGTAAATAATAACAGTAATTTTTACATGAAAATGCTTACCCCATGAGAGGTGGAAGGAATACAAGAGATGCTCTTAAAGAAAAGGCTGGGGACTGCTTCAGCTCTTGGCAGGGATAAACAGTGCCTCTCTTCCCCCTTCTTTCCTGGACACCAGCCCAAGCCCACCCCCTGCTCCAATTCCCTTTAACAAAGGACAGAACACAAATGCAGAAGACCACTGTGGGCTGATATTTTTGTTTGGTTTTACTTGGGAAGAAAATATTTTAAAGGAACAGAGACAATAAAGAGAAACGTGGAAAGAAAAAAAAGTGGGATGTGAGAATGAGAAAAGGGAAACCAGAAGGATAAATGGGAGAGAGAAAGATTTGGGGAAGAATAAATTCTACTTCTGCTCTTTAGGGACTGTGTACAGTAGGTATGGACATTTATAAAATTATTTTATATGATTAAGAAGTTAATATCACCCCAGATAGAAAGCCAGAACATTGTAACACAAGGGGATGAAGAAGATATTTCACCGATGTTTGTTTGGGGAAAAAAATATTCCAAAGCATTTCCTTCTGTTGTAGAACAGCCTAAAGATACTTTCCGTGCTGGGAACCTGCAGAATGACTTACACAAGGGTCTGGCAGGCCCAGCAGAGCCTGTTTGCTGACACCAACCCCCTTCCTGCCTGGAATTTGGCCAAGCGCCGCGGCCCCGGCCAGGCGCAATCTCCTTCGCAGGTGCACACGCGACGGAAGGCACAGCGAGGGGAACGAACCTGCAGGCCCGAGGGGAGCACCACTGCTCAGGCTCCACTGAAAATAGATGGGCAGGGGTTCAATTTGGCTGCAGCGAGCCCGGGGATTTAAGATTAACCGCTTGATACCGGAATTTCCACTCTCATTGAAAACAGACACCGCCGTATCCATAGAGTTTTCAGAAGAAAAATACACACAGCAAGCCTGATTCTTTCATTGATTTTAAGGCTTGTGCAGCGCAGTGAGAAACAGCAGAATTGTTCCTGATTTAGGTCATAAAAATGCAAGGTAAACCCAGAGGAATCCAGAGCAAATGAGAGAAACAAAAGAGACTGGCTGTTGGTCCATGCTCCTCCATTCTTTATGCTGTGGAAAAGAAAAAAAAATTGCAAATACAGAAAGTATTTTTTTGCTGCCTTTGTAAAATTATAGAAAACATTTTCCTCAAGGCTAAACACGGTACTATCTAGAAAACTATGCAGGTAAGAGGATTTGAAGAATAAACATAGAGATTCTTCTAGTCCCAAAGTCATTTGCAGTTTGATTGGGAGCTTCTTTTGGCTGTGTCTGGTTTTAAAATACTCTGCTTAAATATGTCATCCTTTTTGCTATAAATATATATATATAGTTAGACCATTCTTAGAAGACACTAAGTGAATGTAATTAAATGTTCTGAGTTCAAATTTACTATTTGAGTAGCAAATCTGTGAATAACATAATGACCACAAAACTAGTGAGGTCTAAACATGTTCAGGACATTCTATAAACTTCTACCTCAATCAGGAAGCTGGGGTTTGCTACCCAAAAGTTAGCTTTGGGCAAACCCTCTGATATGTTTGGGTTTGATTCCCCCACCACCACTCCCAAAAGGAAAAAAAAAGGATTAAAGATTATTAAAAGATCTCCTCTCTTCCCATTAGTCAATTCTTTTATTGGAGAGTTTGTGCTTAGTTGATTTATATGAAATTACATGAGCTACTTGCATTTTTTTTAATAACCTTTCTGGGGAAAGTTGACTCAGGTACACAGAGTAAAGCAGACCAGAGAGCTACCCACAATCTAAATGTGCAAAGGAAGGAGGAACCCAGCATGTCTGTAGCCCTCTCCTCACAGAAAATGAACTTCAGACTCAGTTCTGAACCACAGGGAAAACTCCTGACTGACTCATGCACTGCGTCCCAGGTACGGAGCCAAAGCAGCACAAAGAATTCCCAGAAGTCTCATTTCCGCCCAAGAAATGATTCTCTGGAAGAGCTTGAGGATATGGCAGAAGATATATCTGGTGAGAACAAGCTGCCTGTCAGAGTGCAGTCACGGTGTGGAACTCCACAGAGGCTCCCAGTGACTGTGAGAGATAAGACTGCCTCAAAGAGCTGTCGAGAATCCCTGTGCCCAAGTTATATGAGGGACCACTCTGTGCTGCAGAAAATCTAGGTGTTTTAAAAGAAAGAGAAAAAAAATCAGCCATTTGCTCATGATCCTTGTGGTGCCTGCTTTCCAAGTCAGAGAGCACGGACTTTCCCTATTTTTCCCTTAGTCTAGCTGCCAGGGGTTATCAGATTTTTATTCCTTGTTCCTAATTATTGTTACAGCCATGAGGGAGATTATTTGACTGGGTTGACTAGGGTAAATGAACTTCATCCTGAGCACAAAACTCTTCATCCTGTAGCTGCCACCACTGATGAATTAAAAACTTGCCATCCAGCCCTTCCAACTACTAATGCATCAACTACGAACCACATAAATTTATGGGTAGGATTGAAGCTAAATGCGTGATGATAAAAAGCCTTCCAGTAAGACAAGGCTCTGTGACGTTATGAATTATCTGGCAGCTCTTTCTGCACAATCCTATGTGGATTGGAATCAGCCAGTGAAGTAATGTAGAGGGCCTTTCTCCCACTGGAGCCACAGGGAGTGTTGCCATTTATTTTGGCAGGAATAGAATCAGACCCAAATCCTTAAATTGTGCATTACTTAATCCCTGCACTGAATGCTGGATAGCTGACACTTGGATTTGGAAGTCAAGGCCCCCGTCCAGAAAGAAACCTGAGGTGTAAGAAAAGCCATATCTGAACCACTGACATCATCTGGGCAAAGCTCAGCACGTTCATAGTTACTAGAGTTTGATCTGTCCCTTCTCAAGAGCTGCACTGTGTTTGATGAATGAGACTCTAATTGAATTTAAGCAAATAAACTGCAGGTTACAAAGCAAACTCAAATGTTGTTATGCATTTTGATGCTTCCATGTTCCTATCTTACAGAGGCAAAAATGAAATAAGACACAGACAATCAGTCGTTTTGTATCTACACTCTGCTCTTTATAGGGAAGCATGACAGATGTGTTTTATTACATTTGTATGTTTATTGTATAGAGCATTAAAACTCAGATATTTCGTTTTTCTTATATCTCAAATTCAAAAGAGAAGAAAGAGGGCAGACACAAAGAAAAATAAGTAACTACTAGAAACAATTTTGTTTGTTTTGCCAGAATATTAAGTTTCTGGGCTTTTTTTCCTCTTCTGGGGTTTTGAACTATTCTTCTCTGGTGGAGGAGGGGGAACAATCTTAACCATATGGCTCATCCCAAAGCCTTCGGAGTTCTTGAGTCAAGCATCTAAAATCAATACATTTCTTTAGTGATCATGAGTTGTTGATAAAAAAAGAGGCTGACATTTTTATGTGGATTTGGGGTTCATAGATTTCATGTTTCCTAAAGAAATGTCAGAGAGGGAGGCTTTTTTCTTCTAACAAATTAAAAGGATTTGGGGCATTCACAAGGCTAATTTAAGCTTCTGAAAAACATATCAAATATCATTACCACAATACTAAAATCATTAGATTGGTCAAAATTACTTTCTAAACTGTATTTTTATTGTTAATTGTGATGAACTTTAATTTTGAAAATGATAGTCCCTCTGTTTTTAGGGAGAGAAGGGCCTGGTTCAACT